TTATAATCAACAGTCTAAAAAGTCTCATGAAAAGCCTACAGTTAATAATTCTATAATTTAACAAATTTGAATGGCCCCGGAAAGACAGAAAAAATTGTTATGAGTATCATAATGGTTTCGATAATACAGAGAAGATTGACAATTAAATAAAGTTATTATGAATCAACATGTTATTTGAAATTACTGATTTTATGTCTACTTTTGCATGAATAATATTATAAATTTGTGACTTCTTTCAATGATTTGTTAATTCATTCGAACAACTATACATGTGGAAATGTTGCTATACTTTTAAAGATCTAATATTCTAATATAAATATATTAGAAAATGATCAGCATCGTAAATTTGATTACAGAAAGAAGAATCTACATAGTGCGTAAACACATCGTTATAAAATAGACTATTAGCCGGGATAAAGTTTCCGCATATATTCAATCAGATTTGTACATTTTGTGTGTGAATACGATCAAAGATGTAGGTATCTTTTGGGGCTTTCGCTCGCGTTATTACCAACGATCTTTATTGCATAGCAATTCATTTTAATGCGTTCAGTTAGGAAATATTTGTTATTACAATAACTTCTGAACCATTCATATGCCTTGGTAAAAGTCTGCCGTCTCTTAACAACAAATAAGTATTTTACGACGAAAGGCTGAAAACCCATATAAGATATTCATGACAATTGCCTTTTATAAACTAAAAGAAAAAAATAATTTCAACCCTGTTCAACTAAGTTCTGAAACTTTCTAAATAATACAGGATAACGGATTGTATCATCCGTGAAACCTATTCAGGAGCTGATATCTAAGTGGAACAAATAATTTTAAAAATAGTTCAATAATCATGAATCTTGATATATTTTTTAAGTTTTTAATAGGTTTTGTTGCGATGTTGAATTAAGTGACGAAGAAATTTTGCGCAACGTCCTGTTTTTTAAGCGCATTAAAATTTGAACTTTTACCATGCAGTGAAATATTGCATTTTAAGACACGCCGTTTTAAAAGTATTTATAGTAGCTATTTTAAACAGCAGATTTCATATTGCACAACATATTAACATAAATTATTTGGTGGTGTTTGTTAAGATGATTATATTTATAGATGAAAAAACGACGAACAGTCGAACAGTATATTAATTATTTTAAATAATTTGTTGCCTATTTGCTTTGCTATCCTTCGTCTAGGTTGTATTACCCTTCGCAATAGCCACGTAAAAGATTGAAGAAGCTTCTTGGCCATAAAGTATTTGTTATGTTATGAACCCTCGATGTATTGTTTTGCCCCTGACAATGATTTTTCCACCCCCTATCTCTTTTTATTGTGGTTCGATTAGCGTCGGAACTTTCTAGAACGGTGGCGGCGGAACAAAAGAAACAGTAGCCATTCGACTAAAGGTTTAAAATTCCAAAGTTTTAAGAGATCTGCGATAACAATGGCCATTTCACCTAAAGTGCTGATTTCGACTTTGGGTTTTCAGTACACTTCTTATTGAAGTATTTAACAAAAGCCGGAAGAAATCCACGTTATACGGTTTCTACTGAACGAAATGCTCTATACTTGTTATAATATTGCACAGTAATTCATTGTGAGAAAATCTTTAGGTCTCTAGGAAGTTCCAGTATCTTCTACCTGAGGGCCAAAAGACCTCGACATTCTGTTGAACCAACAATAAGAACTAATCTCAAGGGCTCCGATAATCGAATATAATAAATCTACAAAAGTAACTTCTGGCAATGTTGTGACTGTGAATTTTAACGAACATCTGTAAAATACTGTTGATTTTGGTAATATGGGGTGGAAAAAGAGAAAGTATTCCAACTAGTGTATACAAAGTTTAATTTTCAATTACTTTAATGAAGTAAAATGATGGTGAAGGGGCATTTGTTTTCGAACGAGAGAAATATGGCAAAATTTTACATTCGCTCGATCTCATCAGTAGGAATAATGTCATCAAACAGGCAGAAGGCCCAACATTTTTTTTCAATCAATTTTATAAATTGACATACAACAACTGGTGACAAGACAATGCGGAAAATAAAGATTCCCAGAGAATCTCAGAATTATTTCAAATATGTTTGAATCATATACGAGTACAGCACATTGTCCCATTTTACAAATGGTACAAATATTAAAAAAAGGAAAAAGTCTTCATACAAAGAAAAAGGAGTTCCGATTTTATACAATGCAGGGGAAGGTTGTGATAGAAAGCAATCCTCAGAGTAATTTGAAATATGTACTGGAACAAACAAACAAAACAGGCACATAAATCGCAAATTTAAAAGATTACATAAATACTCCATTAACATGATTCTGACGGCAGACAGGAACAAAATACGAAGTAGGTACAGACAGTGTACGAAAAAACAAACAATTTTCAGTAAAATGGAACACTCTTTACAACCACAATATGTCCATCCAAACAGAAATAAAGCAGAATAACTACGACAGCAGATTAGAGCCACGATTCACATTCTATTAAGGAAATCTGGTTGAAAATGTTTTTTTAATTCTGCATAAGTTTGTGTCTAAAAGAGCTGTAAATATTTGGTACGTCTCTGTAAATCTAAATCAAAATTAAAATACCCTTTAATTGTGAAACACTTTATATACGCTTTGGACACTTCTACATAATAAGCAATTATAGAATCGATAATAAATTTTGATCCCTTAAATTATATTCGCTATCGAAGGATTATAAATGTAAATCAGAAAGTAAATAAGAAGTTAATCATATTTTTAATTCAATAAATTGGTAACGAGTTACTTTTTAGATATTCATTTAAATAGCACAACTATTCTCTATCTATTTATCAGCGGATATTAAATTGGACCACACCACACGTTTCTGGTGAATGGTTGTTGAAATTCTGCTGCCGTACAAAAAATTGAGCGATTACACTGAAGAACAAATTAAATAATAAAAAAACTACAATAGCAAACAGCTGGGAGTCAACACGATTAATCAGTTCGAACAGTGCAAAAAGGGTTTCTAAAAGCCGACCAGCAAGCAAGAAGTTTTCAAACAATAAACTTTTAGCGGATAGCAGAGAAAATCATCGGAAGACGATTAATACTTGGATCAGAAAAATAAAGACAGAAGAAAAAATTAATTCCAAACATGCGCTAAACCCAGAAAGAGTCGCTTTGGAGAACTTATTATTAGAGGAGGTATTAGAAAGTAGATGAAGACCTTGTAATTTTTAATCAACTGGTAGTAAAATGTGTATATTCTCGCATGGATTTTTATGATTTTTGAATTTGAAGACAACTTCTTAGTGACATTAAAAAATATTTACTACATATAGCACTTCGTTCAAAGCTTTTCTAAAGTAATTTCTACATTACTAAAGGGAGTACTGATTGGAAGCAAAATTTTAGATTTTTCGGTCGTAGTTTTTTTAAAATTCCAATAAATGTTTCCATTTTGCAATTTTTAATTGCCCTTATTTGTCACTTGGACTTCCATTCTTCGTTCGGTTTTTTTTGAAACTTCACTCTGATAATAACATTCGAAAAAAAAATCTCCTATGACGCTCGACTGGGTAATTTAATATCGAAGACAGAAATGACTGTCAAATCATGTTTTATACAACATTTGGCTTAGTTTTGGTCATTGGCCACCGTGAAACAAATATTCTTTATACTTGTTTGCTTTTTTTTCCTTTCATTCCCGGTTGTCCAGGTTGAGATTCCCTTTGAATAGACTTACTCGTTCTTCTTTTTCGAGAAGCTCGACTATATTTTGGAAAGATTTCATCCGAAGAGTTTAGTAGTTGGATCTGGTATTGTTTGGATAGTCAACATTTAGGATTTTGCTGCTAGCCAAAAACGGACAAGTTCCAGAGAAAAACCACAATTATCTACTTGAGGAGGAACCACGAAGAAACCATTGATTGAAACGTGTCATATAATAACCCAACATCAACCCAACTTCGATTATTCGTCCTCTTTTAACATTTTTTATTTATGAATGGGACAGTATCATCTTGATATTAATGTTAACTGTTTAATTTGGCTGATCGTTAGTACTTTAAGAGTTTCTGTATCGGCGTATAACTTCTTGAATTCAACAAGAAATACAACGTTTATTGAGAAAACAGTTTTTCACTTCGTGTGGAGTGTGGAGATTTAGGAGTGGTGAGATTGAAGCCCTTTTGGCTTTTGGCTGGACAACATACCTCCAGTTTGTGGAAAACTACAGTTTCCAATCGCAAGTTGTATGTTATTTTCTGGTTTATTATTGGTTTTTTCATTCTTTAAGGCTTCAGCCTTCCTTACATTTTTTTAGTATTGCATAATTTTTTTTTCAACTTGCTTTAAAATTTAGGAAACCCTGAAACTTTATTCGGGCAAATACAGTGTCGACCACAGTTCCATAAAATACTAAGATTGTTTTGTTAAAACATTTAGATACGGTGTGATAACAATCAAATCTACTTAATTTCAATCTGGACGACGAAAGAAAATGGTATTTAGTATAGAACAAATTTTTCTTTCTAATATAGAGGAAAAGCTTTTTATATTCAAAGGTAATCTCTTTCTCCCATAACTCGTAAGTCAGTTTATGTTGTTTCCAAATATTACTCTTCGGAATTTCCTTCGAAAATTTCAACTGGAATAGGGAGGAACAATATATCTACTTGTTTCAATAAGAATAGGGAGGCACAATATATATTGTTCAGCGGTATACTTGGAGTACCTTTTACCATCTCAGAAGAATCAGTTTTTGTGTAGTAATGAACAATACAATCGGTCTGCGCGTCTATTCATTTGGTCTATTCACGCTAACGATTTATGTAGTTTATTAGTTCACCCAGGAAGAAAAAGATGATAAAACATTGTTACCCATTTTTAAGATCAGCTGAAATATTTTTCACCCCGGCCCGGTAACACCTGCAAAGGGAGGACGCCAATTTCTCAAATACATATACATATATCAACTTACTGTTTATATATTCTTCTGCTCCTTGAATGCGAACGAAATTAATTAAACAAACGTGTTTCAAGTTATTAAGTTTATTTTCTATGTACATCGAAAATACTAGAACTACTTACTAAGCGAATTATTAACATATATACAAAACTGAAATTTTAAATTTTCTATACAACAAACGAACATATTAATACACGTCAAAGAATCACACGAGTACTTTACTACAAGTAGAATAATTTTGGCTTTAACTCACAAATTACACTTCTAACTTTAATCAAATTTCATAATGATGATAATCAAACGCAAACGTGCCCGAATTCATCATTTTAATTTTACTGAAATCTGAAGTATAAAAAAGATCTTTTAAATTATAATTTTATACATTTTTTTTATGAGATTTGAATCAAAGTCATAAAATCTGGGAGAATTTGCCAAAAACATTCGTATTCAAAAACGAAACAAAAAAACGACAGTTTACAATCGAGAACGCGAGGAAATCATCTTTTTCTAACGACCCTTATTTGGACACAAAATGCGACATTTTGAAGATGTTACAAACCGTTTGCAAATTATCATTACCAAGTTGAATGAAACCTATCTCCAAGCTGTTTTGGCTAACAAAGTATGTCAACATAATTTACAATATCAATACACTATACAAGATGTAATAAATTATTAAAAATGTACAATAATAATGAAAACGTTTTTATGCAGAACTCGATTCGTACAATATTTGATTAAGTGATTAAAGTTTTGAAACAAAATAAAAATAATAATAACGCAACTCAGTCTTTCGAAATGGTATAAAACACAAAATACTGATCAAAACTCGAAAACCGGAAAACTAAATAAATAAATTAGAACTCTTTGGAGTTTTAAACTTACTTTAAAATGTGCTACACAAATAATAAAATATCAATAACCAAATCAAATTTGCCAAATTGCTAAAAATCCAATTTTTCAAATTAACAAAGCACAGCTGAAATAAATATCTGGCATATTTGAACAAGATCATTTGGATTTTCAGCTATTTTCATGTAATACTTTTCAAAGCTTGAACTGATTGCATTCAGCTCTAAATCTTATCATTTATTTTACAAATATCACAAAAATAATATAATGAAATGAACTTTAATGTACATTTTTACCATACAAGTAACTTTGCTGATGCTTGCAAACAAAAACCATTTTTTTAATGATGATTGATGTCATTGACCAAAAAATTGCGCAATGTTCAAATGCATATATTAAATCTTTACTTGGTTAAACACCGTTGATATTAACAGGTCCTCATCAAAGCGCCTTGTTCAGAAGAAAATTTGCGTCAACAGTAAAAAACGTCAATTTACATGCGAGTTTTTTTATTTACAGTATTAAATTATGATAAACCGTGAACGTGAGAGATCCATTGCTTAATTGTCCCTGAGGAAGTAGACAATGAAAGAATGTTTTTTTCACTGTCAATCGCCTCCACAAAATTGAAAGTTTCCTACTTGAAACAAGACATGTTTCGCACCCTGTCCATTATCCACTCCAATCCAATTTCCATCGGCCAAGTAAGTGCTAATCTTACAATCTTACATCTTGAGGATGTCGTCGATTGTAAAACTGAATTTTTTTTGTATTGAAACCACATCAACATCTTCATGGATGGAAGATTGGTGGTGTTTCAAATCGTGATAATTCGCAAAAAATTTATCACATCGATTGCACTCAATTGGCCGATCGGTATGGACCTGCATATGCTTTTCCAGATTGGTTCGTTGATTGAACACTCGATTGCAAAAAGGACACTTATGAGGAGATTCCTCCATGTGGACGACTTTATGCATAGCGAGCGTTCTGGATTGACAGAAGCCTTTCCCGCATTGCTGGCATTTGAAGGGCTTCTCTTTCGAATGTATGTATCTGCAATAGAAACAACCGCTTAGTTATACTTGCGATTTTTATATTTACTTTGAATTACATTAAAAACAAAATTGATTCTTTGTTAAATAAAACGCCGAAATGTGCAACGCCAGCGACAGAGTAAAAGGACATGGATAAATTCATAAAAAAACCCACGGTATTGTCTTGAAATTGGCATAGCCTTTTAATGCAATACCTTACTGAAAACGTGTTGAGAGCCGCATAAACAAATGCTTCTTAAATCTTCAGTTTTCTCCCTCTAAATGTTTATATTTCGTGTTTATTTTTATACCTACTCCATAAAAACGGGTTACAATCGAAACTACAGCTTTGTGAAAGATAATGAAAAAGAATAATATTGTGTTATAACAATGTTTGTCATGACTAAATTAGAAAATTAGGCAATATACCTTCCACAATCTATTAATATTCTACCTATATATAAATTATGAATTTGTACATATTTCTGGTTGATAAGTTCACGGGAATATTATACGGTATTCTCCTATTTCTAAAAATCTGATCTGATTCTAATGACAATTTTTTTTTTAACTGAACAGAAAATAGATAGGTGTAGGCATAAATTAGTACGAACGACGATAACCATTTTTTGTTCAGGTTCAGGCAAAAACATTTTATTCGTGTAAGTCAAAAAGCGTTAGCAGAAAAGCCTCTTCTAAACTTAAAGGCAAGTCTTAATTTTACTGGACTTTAAAAACTAGGAAACATATTTTTCTCCCGTTAATTTCGAAACAATACAACAACCGTCCAGTTTTTGTACGATGTTTATTGAATAGAATAGTTTATTGTCTTTGCAGTCGTATAAAAATATTGTGCAACACAATTCAAAGCATATTTTCGCATTATTCGACGTCGATATGCTCGGACCAGTTAAACTTTTTAAATATGTATTCTAAAGTTAACAATTCAAATTTCTTTGGTCGAAATTAAAGAAATAATGGGCAATTAAATTTAAATTGAAATCGAGTTCACGTTTCATTTCTTCTAATTTTTCTTGCAAGTAACTAAGCTCTTAGTTAATGCGTTCCTAAAACACACTGTACGAGCAGTAACTTGGGCAATCCCGGAAACTTACTCAAAGAAAATTCAAAATTATCCCGAAATAAAAAAAGCGAAATTGTATGTAACAAATATTATAGCCACTATATATCAATGTTGTGAATAGATAAGTGCAAAATAAGTTATAAATCATTATAAACTACCACATGTTGATGTTTTTTTTCCTTTTCATTATTTGGACCTCATTTTTATCAGATACGTACATTAGAAAGTAATTGAATGATAACAAAAACTTCAAGTTAAAAATATAGCAGGAAATGTTTCCAATAACATTAAATTAAAAAAATGTCTTTAAGAAATGTACTACATATAACTCGATATTATAGCATTGGTTAGGTGTTTTGAGCTTTCAAATCATTGTGGTTGTCCCTACTTAGTTCTGACTCAAGTAGTCATTCGTAGTCATTTATTTTCCTTGAATAAATATTGAAGAAACTTGGCTGTAAAACAAATTTTGCCCATATGTACCACCTTAAAAATTTAAACTTGCGACAATATTTAGTATCCAAATTAAGCTGATTAAAAAAAATTGTTTTAATTACAGAGGTTTCAATGTGAAATATCTCGAAATTGGTGAGATATCGACTAGAACTAAATGCATATTTTTTGGAGAACGAGATATTCCCAACAAAATGGCGATATTTGAAAACTCAAACAAAATTTCTATAGAATCTATAGGAACGACAAGCTAAGTAGTAAGAAATTTGAATTCCGTGATCTAAAAAACTTTCAACCGCATTTTTTCGGTTATAAGAAAACTGGTTAAAAATCAATTTAAAAAAACCAAAATTTTATTGACGCTTTGAAACCCTGTAGTTCCCAAAAATTGAAAAATTCAAAAAATTTAACTTCTTAGTTTTTAATGTACCTACCTACATTGTTATTCAGTAAATTTGATAACCAGTAAACGTTGTTCGCAAAAATTCATACTTTTTGTTTTTTGAATTTCCCTCACTAACTATTCCAACTTTAAGCCAAATTTTAATTAAACTTGTAGAAATTATAGCATATATTTGAAATTGAACTGGACCTTTAATGTCCTGAATTGTCGAAAGCGAGCACTATTTTGCCAAGGCATATCTGAATAAATCCTAATATTTAATTTAATTTTTAAATAGCGTCTTCAATCTGCAGTTACACTGATTCAAATAGGCAATAAATATGGTACTATCAAGTGAATTAGACAAATTAAATTTCCATTTCGTTACAAAGCATTCGCACCATTGTTTTAAAGATGAACATGTATATTATTATTAAGCATATGCATACCTGTGATCTCTCAAATGGTCCTGTCTTCTAAAGGCCTTCTTGCAGATATCACACATGTACGGCCTTTCATCTGTGTGCGTCCTTTCATGAATCAGCAAGTTGTAGCTTTTGGTAAAATGTCGATAACAAAATTTGCAAATAAATTGCTTCTTCGGTCTCGACGTTCCGCCATTTCTATTACCACCAGGTCGCAAATTAGCTGCTGCCGAAGAAGTGTGCGTTCTAGCATTAGGCAAAATGCCCTGTCTATACAAGGTGTTCTTTTCCCAAGAACTTTGTGACAGCGGGTGTAGTAGCGGATTTGGTAGCAGCGGCCCATAGTAAGCAATCGCCTGATTGTAATTCGCCAATGTGGGAGAAATGGGCATGTAATTGTTATTTGTGTATGTGAAGGGTTCATTGCCGGAAACCCAGGATTTCACTACTTCTCGAGTCATATGGTTGACCAAGTGGAAAACTTGATGGTCTGAAGACATATTTGCGTTGAACGAAGTTGATAGTGGTGAGGTTGATGAGTCAGGCTCCTGGTTTACCTCAAGTATCGACTCCAACATGAAATCACCTTTACCTGCGATTAAAAAAACAATGTTTTAGTTAACCAGTAATATCATATCAGTTCACTGGAGTATCCAGTTTGTGGATATTATCTCGAAAACAAAATTCTTGAGCAACGCATAGCAACAGAAAAATAATGCTACTAATCAATTAACCGTCCTCAGAAAACTATTTTATTTTTATCATAAGTAATCATGCAATAATGCTAGCAGAAAAAAGTATATTTAAATCCCAATTTAGCGCAAATCTGTGTTTAAGTGAATTAATTAAAAGTGGATGAATAGCATGGGAAGAGTTAGTAATAATCACCCATAAAAAAGGGTTTTGTAAGTGTTTGCAACTGTAGAGCAGACCAAAATATCTAATGCAAAAATTGGTGAAATTGAGAGAAAATGATGAAAAATGGTTGGGCAGAAAGACCGATTGGGTCGATAGCCTTTTTCTGTAGGAAATAAAGATTATTTATTTATATATATATATGATGAAAAATAACCAAGAAAACTCAACCGATATGTATTCCCGCGGCACATTTGATTAGTTTAGTGGGTCCATGGAAGAATGTAAGGATTTTTTTTGTTTCTATTGCACTGTTTAGGTATTGGTACAAATCATAAATATTGTATATTAAGGTGCGCAGAAAAACCTAATGAATTTCATTGTTCTCCTAATGACTAATAAATAACCTGTTAAGAGTTTATGGGCCTAATCAGCCGTTTTTTTTTAAGTTAGTTAGTTGTAGGCTGAAGGTGCCTAAATGAGTTTGATTAACATGAGTCCTAAATTGAACGCAATTAAATGGCTCCTACTTTCTAATCTTGAAAAAGTAATTTCTGTGACCAAAGGACGAAACTAAGGACCCACTGGAATTAGTCGGTTTGCAAAATTCGGCATAAAAACAAATGTTCCCAAAAGAAACAGCGGCTACAATTCCTTCGGAGTGCAAATTTAAAAAATAGACTACTACTGTTGAGGACGGGAGGTACTTTAGACCTCCCATATTGTTCGCCTTTCGTATCTAGGGGCGTGTCCGCGCTACAGGTACTCAATTGTTGGACAATTTTTGAACTTGGATTGTTTGGCAATATTTTTTTTTTTGGCACAACAATGGTTACAACATCGATTTTAAATCTAATTTTTTTACATTTTTTTTCTAGTAATCTAAAAATGTATTTGGAATGCAAATCACTATTGTGGTGTTAGTGGAAGCGAATAAGATTACCTCCATATATCACTTAGCATCGAAATTGTATAATTTAATCTATGAAATGCAAGTCCAATTTATAAGCGATTAGGAAGCAGATTAGTGTGATATCTTTATTTATTTCACATATTTGGGCAAATTATCAGTGGTGATAGCGAGTTGCGAACAATTTGCGTCTTTCAGTAACGGGCAGGTTGAATTGAGTGTTTATTTTATTCCATAAATAAGTAGGTACGTGGAAAAAATTGCATCAGCACTAATAGGAACTAGTCGAATAGAATGAAAAAATGCTCATGAAAGTTTTAGGAAACACAAAGTCACATATAACGTAAAACTGCAGCCGAATTAGGTACACAACCAGAGAGCAGTAACTTAAAAGTTTATGAAAATGTACACAGCAGCTTCCCCTTATTCGAAAGAAAGAGTATACATATAGGTACTCGTTAACAATGCAGAAAGAACGCTACAAAATTCATATTTTTTGACAGAAGATGTCACGCGGCAAAACAGAAAAAACTCAATTTTTTAAACCAACATTTTCATGATCGAAACATTTGAAAAAACTTATACAGTCCACAGATTGAAAATCGGTGATAAAATTATCAAATAAAATCGTTCGCCCCAATAATTGACCACTTATATCGCATGCATCATTAATAATCACAGTACTCACTTCTTTTATAAACAACCGGATTCATATCCTCGTCAAGTCCAAAGTAAACCCACAAACAATCAACAGTAGTAAAAGCAAGACACAATTTTTGAAGAGAAAAGTTCACTAACCGCACTGAAAACCTGTGAATATGCTGATCTATTTGGCATCTAAGTACTGCCCAACTCTCCAACCGGTGTTCCTGTGATAAACTGGTGCAAAACATCCGAACATCAGGCCAGTCCTACTGTGAAGTAGTAATAGTAGCGCAAGTAGGCGGGACGGAGATAAACTGTACCGTTTGATTGGCTGACGCCTCAGATTCAATCATGATTTCGGGTGGCGACCTGTTTCAACCCTGCTTTTATGAACTGATAGGGTGCGCTGTATGAAGCCCTTTTTGTTACCGGATTTAGACCTCTACTTAGCCCTTGATTGCGCAATTTGGGCACAAAGGTCGCCTTAATAACGTTATTATGTGATTGCAAAGAAGATTGACATGTTAGCAATGTACCTCGATAATTGTAAATTTGTATACAGGTGTGGCAAACAAATGGTTGCTGTTGAAGAATGTCCCAAGGAAACAACAAGGAAAACAGAGCAGATTACTGAATTCGTATAATAGAAATGAAAGCATCAAGATAGAAGTTTTTAATGTTGGATTAAGCGCCAAAAAAAATTGGTTGGTTAAATTGCGGTCTTGATATACCTATTTAGAATTGTTAGCGTCCGAAAAGTGGTTGATTGGAGATTTAGAAAATATTTTCCTGAAATTTGATCTAATTAAATTAGTCACAGTTACCTTTGCCATGCAAATTACGCGCATCAGTTCTAAAGTTTCTTAGACCTTTACGGCATTAATTTGACTTAATCCACAAAGTCAAGGGCGGATCCAGCTTTCAAGTCAGGCGGGGGTCATGTGGTGGAGATTCAGTCAGTACAGGCTTTCATTCAATTACAATATCGTAGTAAATTTAATCAAATAACAAAATCAATTTTCTTCTATTGGCTTCTCACAAAACGAGTTACGAGTTCTTCCACTTCAATCGGTAAGGTCATTTCAGTCATAGATGAAGACAACTAGTCCAGTTAAGCGCTCTTCTGCCATAAAGCACAAAAAAAAATCGGCAAAGAGCTGGTACCAGAACTTGTGCAAAAATAAAGCCACCGATTCCACCGCTCTAAACGAGGCGTGCTGATTGAATGTGGATCTTCTCTTTAGATCACTTTTGCACGACACATCCAGCTGTTTCATAAAAATTGAGCAAAATGCTAAATCGAGAGCTCGTATGAAAGGCAAGTTATTCCGTATTCCGTCGGAGCATTGAATGTGGATCTAATTATAGCTCTACATAATATATGCAGCTGAAAGGACTCAAATTTGCATAAAAATAGAACAACAAAAGTCCGACAGCATTTAATTTAACATGAAAATGTCTCTTTTGCTCACGGCGACCATCCAAACTAGTTTGAATCAGAAACTTCTAGCGTTTCAAAATATTTGCGTGCGGCACTTTCTACAAAACAATCAACAATAGAAAACGAAAATTGAACTATCATCCCGTTAATTCTGTAGTTCACTGCCTTCGGAAATTGGCAAAAACCTCAATATCACTCCGGTTTTTGGAAAAGGTGACTAAATATTCAGTTTGGTAGGGGAAGTGAATAAAATACGTCGTCAGACCTTTGTTCATAGACAGCATATACAGGATGATTTGGTGCCAATAAGTGCGCTAGATTATCTGTTATCCGCTAACTGAAACAATTAAGTTTTCAATTCGAAGTGGATCTTTATTGTTTGTCTTTATTAATTTGTAGAAAATGTAGGATGGGGCGCCAGCAAATCTATAAATCCTTTAGCTTGAACTGAGTTCAGTTTTCCCTGAAGCAACTGAAGTTGATGGCAATTTTTATTTCTATTAATTTTCTCTATTCATTTCAAATAATTAAACTTTTGACTGAGTTTCTATAATACTAAAGATCGTTTTTCTTTCTTTCCAGGTGGTACCATGCAGCTTTCGGTAAGTTTGACATTATTTTTCCTCTGGTTGTCATGTAGATGTAAAGCTTTTAGTCCCATTTTATTGACTTGTATTTTATGTATTGCTGTATGCCATATTTATTCGACAAGGCACGAAGAGAGACGTTCTGGATTATGGATTGACTTAAAATTTTTCGAGTTTTCTTTTTGTAAAAATTATTTAAACTCAGATATTATAGCTCGCTCTCTATCTACTCTCTTGATATATAATACTATAAACTTTCTGTTGTGAGCTATAGTTTTTATTCTCTTGGGAGGTAATCTTGGTGTATTCAACTGTTAAAAGAGCGCACAATCCAGACGAAAATGCCTAAAGGTAGTCGGAAATTTTATGGTTTATTGCTTTGTGATGGTTTAGAGGATAGCACCCTAAGAGCCGCCAAGTGATCCTGGACTACTTATTTGTATATATCATATTTAATACTTGTCTGTTTTTTCCAAATTTCACACTCTAAACAAATTATTTTTGCAAAACGATTCGTGCTAGGAAATTTAAGCGGCCAGGATCCGATATACTTTAGATTTTTTGACATCCAGCGCCCTTCAGGCAGTGGTGCAGATTAATATTTTAAGCACACTGAATGAGTTCTTTGGAAAAAATCGGGGTTTTAGGGAATTTTCGGCGATCTGCAGCCGTACAGCATTTCATCTTGTAGAAGTAGATGACAACCAGGGTTGTAGTTTTTCTTTCATAGCATTTACGCTGCTTCGTGTGATTTGTGGATTTTATGAGGCAAATTTATTACGCCTTTTTTAAAATTATAGCGCACTTATTTTCGCATGATGTAGAATTTTCTGCGGATAAAGCAGGTAGCACAATCAATTTAATTTTTTTTTTAATTTCCGAAAAATTTTGATATTTGACCGACTCACAGGGTAAAGAGTGGAAGTATGTGCACGTTTGAGAGTTGTACGCTTGCCATTTCCTGCCACTGTTGCAGATAATTTTTTTATAGACAGTGAATATACTTTGTAAACAATCTGATTTTCTCTTTTGAAAATGAATTAATGGGGGTAAATATTTAATGTAATTTATTCGGAAAATCGTCTTCTTGACTCTCAAATCATCATACCTTCCAGATTTTTCAACCGATTGCAATTTTCCAAGGTGCAGTTTTGAGATGCAGATGACTTGTTCACTTGTTATTAGTCGCTTCGCTCATAAGCCTGTGTAACACTGTGTTGAGTTGCGCTTTTGAGTTGATGCCGCTCTGTGAGTTGGTGAGTTATAACTCATCGCGTTTCATTGCGCCGCACCTCGAGTTACGCTCGTGGCGGAATAATTCTTTAATTTCATTTTTAATTAGTTGAAATGTCGTTGGTTTCTATCAGCGCTCGGAAATTAAGCAATAGTCTCATTTTAAAGTGATTTGTTTGAGGTTTATTCGTTTAGTTAATACTTTTAGAAAAACAAAATCAATTCAGTTATTAGTTTTAGTTTTGGCGTTGTACATTAATCACTGCAGCTGAATGAAAGGTGAAAACAGTGAATACATATATTTCTAAAATTAGTCTCTCTAAAACATAGTGTTGTAAGGACATAACTGTTCAATGAGCTTTTGAATGTGGTTAATGTATAATTACCGTTTTTTTTTTACAAACTTCTTTTTGGGTATTATTGGGTTGAATTTCCTCACGTCTTTTATTACACATTGATAAATAGTGCTCCTATTTCGCAATAAGAACGAATTATTTATCAAAAAGTAATCAAGAACTATCACCTAGAGGGTATCCTG